GTTCTGGTGTTCAGGCCCTGCTGGTGGACCTCCTGATGGCTCCTGGGTTTTGGCCACTGTGTGACACAGAGTGTTGGACTGGATGGACCATTGGCCTGATCCAACACGGCTTCTCTTATGTTCTTATAGAGGGAACCCTCAGTCTGGGGCAGTGATGCTCTACATTCTTGGTGCTTGGGGGGGGGCACAGTGGGAGGGCTTCTGGAGTTCTGACCCCGCTGGTGGACCTCCTGATGGCTCCTGGGTTTTGGCCACTGTGTGACACAGAGTGTTGGACTGGATGGACCATTGGCCTGATCCAACACGGCTTCTCTTATGTTCTTATAGAGGGAACCCTCAGTCTGGGGCAGTGATGCTCTACATTCTTGGTGCTTGGGGGGGGGCACAGTGGGAGGGCTTCTGGAGTTCTGACCCCGCTGGTGGACCTCCTGATGGCTCCTGGGTTTTGGCCACTGTGTGACACAGAGTGTTGGACTGGATGGACCATTGGCCTGATCCAACACGGCTTCTCTTATGTTCTTATAGAGGGAACCCTCAGTCTGGGGCAGTGATGCTCTACATTCTTGGTGCTTGGGGGGGGGCACAGTGGGAGGGCTTCTGGAGTTCTGACCCCGCTGGTGGACCTCCTGATGGCTCCTGGGTTTTGGCCACTGCTTGGTACAGCTTGTTGGACTGGATGGGCCATTGGCCTGATTCAACATGGCATCTCTTGTATTCTCCAACCTGCTTTGATGCAGAGTTGTGGGGAAGATCGTAGTAAAACCTGGGTGGCTGCTGTGTGGGTGGGAAAGTTTATGTTTTCCCGACCACATGGCATCCGGTTCCCGTGACCCTGTCCCCGCAATGACCATTTCCTCCCCCTGCCACCGAGGATCTGGGGCAGGGAGACTCACCACATAGAAGCCTCATTGCCCCGCCACTGTATCCTCCGCCACCACAGCAGTGGAGAACCTTCACAAGCCTGCCCCCTTGTGGAGACCACCATGGTGTTCATCCCGTGCGTGCAGGCATACAGCCGATGTGGCTATATTGGTGAGGTGTTTTTCAAAAACGTGTCCGGCGCCATTCTTCCGGTTGCCCTTCCTGAACTAGGTCGTGTTTTCTGGGAAGCACAATAACAAATTGAGCTGGCGATAAGGTCGGTCTGGATGTCGTGACCTTTGACCTGGAACCGATTCATCTCGGGCCCCGAGGCCTGGCACTTGGCCGGGCTGCTTCCAGTTGCGACTCTGAACAGAGCTATACCCTCGGGGCAGTCACATCTGCTCAGCCTGGCCTACCTCACAGGGTTGTTGTGTGGATGACACGGAGGAGAGAAGAAGGGTGCATGCCCCTTTGGGTCCCCGTGGAGGGGGGAAGAAAGAAAGGTGGGTTATAAATGAAGCTAAATGGAAGAAATAAATCCTAAGCGCCTTCAGTGCTCTACTTCGGGCGGCACAGTTATTGCGGGAACAATCTTGCATATTTCTTGGAGGTTCTTTCTCCCTCCAGGCAACCTGCGGGCAAAACTGTCCTGGGTATCGCTCAGTGACTTAAACAGAACACTGGGACACTCCAAGGAAGTCCTGGCTACATCTTAGCACAGAAGTTGGTTCTATTTCACTCTTGCACCAGATGTGATGCTGTCTTCTCAATGGCTGCACGGGGCAGAGGGAATGCTAAGGTTGTTCTTATAGGAATAAACAGCATAAAAAGGGGGTTAGATAGACCTCTATGCCCTGTTGTTGGCCCTGCAGAGGAAGTGGTTGGCCATTGTGTGAGGCAGGATGCTGGACTAGAGGGACCACTGGTCTGATCCAGCAGGGCTCTTCTGATGTTCTTAGGAAGGCCTCAGCCTCTGTGCCCTGTTCGCCATTTTGAGGAACTGGTTGGCCACTGTGTGAGACAGGATGGTGGACTAGATGGACCACTGGTCTCATCCAGCAGGGCTCTTCTTTTGCTCTTATAGATTGATTCGTGGAGGATAAGTCTGTCAGTGGCTACTAGCCATGCTGACTGGGGGGAACCTCCAGATTCAGAGGCAGCCAACCTCTGAGTCCCAGAGCTAGGAGGCAACATTAGGGGAAGGCCTTGGCCTCCGTGCCCTGTTGTTGGCCCTCCAGAGGAAGTGGTTGGCCACTGTGTGAGGCAGGATAGGATGCTGGACTAGAGGGACCACTGGTCTGATCCAGCAGGAGTGTTCCTTGAGGATCTCACGTAGCCAGTATGTCTCTGCCAGAGACGGTGGGGAGCTGCCATCAGTCACAATAGAAGAGGGGAAAAAAGATGTACCGATAAGGCAGCTGTATGTGTGTGTATCTGTATCTGCAGTGTATATCTAAATACAAGCTTTGTATTTAGCAACAGACAGGTTCCTGGAGAGGCGACGTGAACATATTCTAAAGAAATAGATCAAAGAAATAAACATGGGAGGTGATGCTCATTACAGGTGGGATTCAACCAGTTTATTACAGGTGGGATTCAA